TGGCTGCAGGCTTCAACTTTAGCTTCCTTCTCTAAATTTTTGTTTTTCTTTGATTTTTTTGGCCTCTGAGGGGGCTCCTTAAATTTTTAGGAAATGCTGAAATATGCATCTAAAAAGGTTTTAAATATTTAATGCCAATGTTTTTTTTTTTAAGATTTTAGTTATTTATTCATGAGAGACACAGAGAGAGAGAGAGAGAGAGAGAGAGGCAGAGACACAGGCAGAGGGAGAAGCAGGCTCCATGCAGGGAGCCTGGCATGGGACCAGATCCTGGGTCTTCAGGATCATGCCCCGGGCCAAAGGCAGCGCTAAACCGCTGAGCCACCCAGGCTGCCCAATGCCAATGTTTTAAAGTGTTTTGAAGAATTTGTCAGAATGGCCAATGAATTAAAAATAAGTTTAGAATATATGTCATCTCGGATCTTTTCAAACACATTGAGACTCTAAAATTCTAGAGTATGGTATACTGTTCCTGTGTCCGAACTATTTTCTTGGGCAGCATTTTCACTTTCTTGTTAAGTCGCGGAGTAGAATTACCCAGAAGCATTGAAATGTTGCCCACTTCCCAGCACTAAAGTAATCTCTATCTCAAAGACAGTGCCTATAACAGAGTGATGCTCCTTCATGTGTTTCACAGACAAAAGAGGGACCACCAAAGCTCACTTGGTGGCTGTGGATGCGGTTTCCTAGGCAACAGGAAGAGTGGCCCATGGAAGGGGGCCAGTGCAAGTCCCTAGAGCAAAGAACACATAGACCATGTACAGCAGTGGTGAAAGCACAAACTCTGGGTGTACTCCTGGAGACCGCCAGCCACACTGGTTCATCCACCAGCTGGCAGTCAGACTTTCTGCCATGGGAGATTTGGAGCCCTGAAGCCCATCTCCACCAGGTCTGTCGAGCAGGGGAGCCTCAGACCGTAGAGGATGGTGCTTTGTTAGCTCTCTTGCTGCTACCAACTGGAGCAGAGCAGTTTGGGCCTTTTCAGAGAGGGAAGTGATTTTGCAGGGAATTTTGAAGGGAATTCAAGAAATCCAGCCATATCCCAAGTTTAAATAGTTGTGCTGTTAGAGTTTGTTCTAAATTTATGAAGTTTGTTTTTTTCCTTCTGGCCTTAAAGCACCTGGAATTGATATTTATGAATGGGATTAGGTAGGGATCTAATTTCATTTATTCCCCCATTTGTATAACTAATTGTCTAGCACCATTTATTGCAAAACATTAATATAGTTCCAGTGATATGCAGCACATTTCATGTTGGCTGTCAGGGTGTGATGTCTGTGTGTGGTTCTGGTTCTGGTTCTGGGTTCTCAAATCTGCTCTGTGCATGGATCCCACTTGTTATAATGATTCGTCTCTGGACCTCCTTCACTTTTGTATTTAAACAACTGTCTTGTCTGCAAGTAAGGACCATGACATATTTCCCTATCTTTATTCTATTTTCTTTTTTCTTGTCGTATCGTATTAGCGAGGGCCTCTACCACAGCCTCTACCATGTTGGGCAGTACTTTTGCTCATGATTTTATTAGTAATACTTCTATTATTCCCTTGCCTGGCCCTAAATAAGATATTTGCTATAGGTTTTAAGGAGATACTCCATGGTTACATGCTGTATAATAGAGACTCTAAACTGCAGTCTTTTGGGGGCTCATATGGCAGCTTCAGCTTAGTCTATCAGCCTCCCTTGTCAGCTGTTCTGCCGTCCTCAATGGAAGGCTTCCCCACCTTCACCTTCATTCCAGCCGTTAGGGAAGAGAAAAAAAGGTGAAGGCACCCTTCTCACCTTTCAAGGCATAACAGAAATTGCCCAAATCACTTCCACTCGTGCTCCACTGGCCAGAACCTTGTCCTGTGCTCAGATTAGGTGAGTTTGGAAGCCAGGAATTGTGGTCTTGAGTGGAACCACCCATGTGCTCATCTGAAATGCTACTGCTGTAGAATAGGTGAACAGTGGCTACTGTGGAAGGGCTGCTCCTCCACTGCACACCTGCATCAAGCTAAGGGGGTTTCCTTCTAGTTCTTCTGTTCCTAAACATAGGTGTTCTGTTTTTTTTTTATTATTATTATACATGAGTGGTGAATTTTATCAAAGTCTTTCTCCTGCATTTGTGGAAATGATCACTGTTTTCTTCTCTTAATCTTATAATATGATCTATTACAATAAATTGTCTAATGCTAATCCTTGTACTCTAGGGATTGAACCCAAATTGACCATGATATACCTATTTTACCTTTTTGTAAACACTGCACGATCTGGTTTTCTAATAATTCTGCCTAGGGCTTTGCATCTTTTCTAGAGTGGAGTAGATCTACAATTTCCCTTTCTTACATGTCTAAAATTTAGTTTTACAAAACCAGTGTTTTGTATTTCTAATAAAATGCACTGTTTAGGCTTCCCTACCCCTACCCCAGGCTCTTCTGTGAAGCCTCTGAGAAAGTCCAGGTTAGGTGGCACTTGCTTGTCCTTGAAGTGTGATCACCCCTCTGCCTGTAAAACCTTTGGGGCTGGATATCTTTGTGGGCTGCAGTGGGAGAAGGGGACAGGCTACCTGGTCACTTTCTCTCATTGCTATTGCTTTTTCTAAGTTTTTATTTATTCTGGAGTTGATGTTGATGTTTTACATTTTTCTTGAAAATTGTTGAATTCTCTAAATTTTAAAATCTACTTGTATATTCTTATTTATATATTCTTGTATTGTTTTAAAAGTTGTCTCTGTACCTGTAGTTACTGCCTTGTACATTTTCTAAGTTTCCACTATTGTTGCATGTCCCTCTTCTTTTTCTTGATCTTTCCTATGGGAAGTTGGCCTATTTTGTCAGCCTTTTCAGGGCATTGGCTTTTGGTTTTCTGGATTTTCTTGCTTATATTTCTGTTTCCTATTTCAGAGGTACATTAAATTCTGCTCTTTACTATTTCCCCTGCACACCTGTATTATTTTACTCTCTTGTCTTGCTAGCTTTTTGTGCTAAATGCTTATTTTCTCTTTTTAAATTTTTTTTTTTTTTTTAGGAAATGCCTTTAAACCTTAAGATTAGCCCCCTGCACTGCTTTAATGCACACACAAGAGTTGGTATGAGGTGCTTTTGTTGTTACTCAATTGGAATATTTTTAAATTTTCATTGTAACATTCTCTTCACCCATGAGTTATTCAGGTGCACATTTTGTAGTATCCAGATGTGTATGTGTATATGTATGTTGATATATGTTTAAACTACATTTTAATTGTTAATTTTTTTGCTTTGATTACTGTGTGGTCAGATAATGTGGTCTATATGGTATCAATGCTCTGAAATGAACAAAGACTTCCTCTATGACTTAATGTTTGATTGATTTTTAAAATATATTAACTTAAACATGTATATTCTGTACTTGTTGGATGTATTTACTATCCATTAGGTCTGGTTTGTTAATTTTGTTGCTTAAATGTTTATTAAATGTTGTGTAATTTATCTGTTTTTGATAAAAATATGTTAAGACCTCTCACTGGTTGGGATTTTTCTGTTTTTCCCTATAATCCCATTTGGTTGATATGTATTGAGTCTGTAGTAAAGGGCATATAAATCTATGGTTGTTGTATCTTTTTGTTGAATGCTTCCATCAACTGTTAAATATACTCTGTATCCTGTTGCTTTTTGCCTTAAGTACTTTCCTTGTGGACACTCATGTTGTCACCCTTGTATTCTCTGGTTGGTGTTACCAAGCACACTCCCACTCATTCCTCTCTGCACACACATTCTGTGAGGTGGTTTTTTTTTTAGGTGTGACCTCTGCAATCCAACTACAGCTGGATTATAAAAAAGCAAATCTAATAATTCACATCTTTTTATAGGCTTCTTTAATCCATTTGTACTCTTTTTGTCATTATTGATATGTGTGGACATATTTGTACCACCTTATTTTTTTGAAGTTTTAAAATATTTTAAAATATTTAAAACTTAAATAAAGTTTTTTTTGCCCCAGTCAGATGGCAGCATTCCATACATACTTTGTATATCTTGTTTTGTCATGGAGGGTTTTTTGTGGTAAAATATACATAACAAAAAATTTATGATTGTAACCATTTTTAAATGTACAATTCAGTGGCACTAATTACATCCACCATGCTGTGCAACCATCCACCAACATCCACTTCCAGAACTTTTTTATCATTCCAAATAGAAACTCTGTACCCAGTAAATAATTGTTGTCCCCTCTCCCCAGTCCCTGGAAACCTCTGTTCTACTTTCTGTTTCTGAATTTGCCTACTCTAGGGACCTGATATGAGTAAAATCTTTTGTGTCTGGCATCTTTCACCCAGCATCCATGGTTCATCCCTGCTGTAACACGTATCAAAATTTCATTCCTTTTTAAGGCCAACTCCTATGCCATTGTGTGTATAGACCACATTTTGTATGGCTCTTCATCTGGTAATGGACATATGGGTTGTTTCTACCTTTTTGGCTACTGTGAATAATGCTGCTGTGAACATTAGTGTACAAGCATCTGTTTTGAGTCCCTACTTTCAATTATTTTGAGTAGATATACCCGGAAGTGGAATTGCTGGATCATATAGTAAGTCTGTGTTTTAATTTTTTAAGGAACTCCCATACTGTTTTCCACAGTGGCTATGCCATTTCACATTCTCACCAGGAATGCACAATATGCACAATAACATCTTATTTTGTGTTTTTCTGATTACAGGTTGTTTTTGTTGTTTTGTTTTTTTGCTTCTTTTTGCCTGATACATGTTTTAGGAAATTAGCACTGATGACAAAGTAGAGGAGGTTGAAAGTGAAATTAGTTAAGAGGCTATATCACAAGACTGTACAAGAGGTGAGAAAGACCTGAACTGAGGCAGGGATGGTAGCAATTAAGAAAAAAACAGACATATACATTTACTCATTTATTCCACAATATTTTTGAATGTCTGTGATTTCAGGAATGAGGAAGGCTGAGGTGAACAAGATAGTTTGTGTTGTTTGTTTGGGGAGAAGCTCACTCTTTATTGATAGAAGGCCCTGAGTCACTTGGAGCTGGTGTACTTGGTGATGGCCTTGGTGCCCTCAGATATGGCATGCTTGGCCAGCTCCCCAGGCAGTAGGCAACGCACCGCCGTCTGGACCTCCCAGGATGTCAGTGTGGTCTGGCCCGAGTACTGGGCCAGCCGGGCATCTTTGCCAACCAGCCGTTCAAACACATCGTTCACAAATGAGTTCATGATGCTCATGGCCTTGGAAAAGATGCCGATGTCAGGGTGCACCTGCTTTAGCACCTTGTAGATATACATTGAGTATGTTTCCTTGCGCCGGCTATGCTTTTTGGACTTTTTATCACCAGAACCATGGCCCCTGCAGGCTCCAGACTGTGGCTGCTGCCCATGCTCGGTGCCCATCCTCCTGCCTGTCCCCTTGACACACACGGTCTAAGGGGGAGATGGACATGAATAAAATAATCCTATACATAAAGGTCATTGCGGAAATGTGGAAAATGTGCCAAAGGAGTAGTAGTGGGTGTGTGTAGGGGAGAGTTGATCAAGTATGAAAGCCAGCAAAGGCTTCCCTAAGGAGGGGTATTTAGATGAGGAGAGTTAATCAGATGGAAGTGGATTGAGAGTGGATGACTAAGAGTGTTCTAGACAGAAGAAATAGCACATGAAAAGGCCCTGTGGCAAGAGAAGGAAGGAGCAGGGTTCTGGAATGGAAAGGAAGCCAGTGCCATTGGTGTAGTATTGTTTACCTTCCAAAATATATAAAATAACCTAAATGTTCAGTATGAAGAGAGTTATTAACTGAATTATGATGCTGCTGTAGAAGGGGACACTGTGTAGTCACTGAAATGGTGTTTAAATCAATGTATGTGGGAAATACTCATAATATTGATGAGTAATAAAAACAAGTAGTTAAACTGATTACTGATATTGATAACTAACAAAAACACACTGAAACAGTGTATAGAATATGATCTTGTTTTTGTTTGTGTATAATATGTAATTGGACAACATATGTTTATTTCAGTATGCGTATTTTTAGAAAGTCTGAAATATGTTCACCAAATGATCATATGTGGAATTCTGAGTGATTATAATTTTTTTCTTTTTGCTTATTGATATCCAAAAACTTGTCTTCAACAAATGTGATTTACTTGTATAAACATAAAATTTTTAAAAAGACATTTATGAGCCAGAATCAGTAGACTTGAAAACTCCTTAGGTGTGGGGAAAGGTAACTATCAGAAGGGACTCGGGATAATGTTAGCCGTGGATGGCCCCATGGATGTAGAGAGGGAGCATAGCTTGAACAGAGAGGGGTGGGAGAAGATTGCAAGTTAAAGGCCAGACACACTGAGTTGGAGGTAAAAATGTCTGACAGGAAGTTAAAAATGTGTTTCTGGAACATAAGAGTGTCACAGCTGCTGAGACAGACATGCAGTGAAGAGGTCCTTTCATCCCCAGTAAGGAGGTTGTTGATTGCTTTTGAGAGCCAGTGGGGCAGAGAAGAAAGTTGGAGTGAGGTAGAGTAAAAGGTGAATGGGTGACGAGGATGGATAAGCAGCAGATGTAGGTAATCCTTTCATGATGTTAGTGGAAGAAGAAAATGAGTATTTTAGGGTAAGAGAGTAGGTTTGATGATAGAGATTTAAAAATCTTCAACATAAAGTTGAAAAAAGTGAAGGACAAGAGTTAATAAATCAAACCAATCAGCAAAGTATGTAGAACAAGAGAAGAATTGTGCCTGGCCTGGACCTCAGTGAATAAGGGTAGTTTGGGTATAAAATTCTGGATTGTTGGTTTTCCTTTCAGAGCTTTGAAGATACTGTTTTTACTATTTCCCATTATTTCTAACAATAAGTAAGCTGCCAGTCTAGAAAATCTGTCTTTTCTTTCTGAGGCTTTTAACATTTCCCTTCTATCTTTTCTTTTTTCTCTGTATTTATCTTTTTGGGGGCTCATTAAGTTCTTGAAGTCAGAGGATCCACAACTTTCAACAGTTCTGGAACATTCACAGGCATCCTCATTCCACAGCCTCTTACCTTAGTTCTCTTCTGTCCTATAATGCTGATCTGCCATTTGCTAGTCCTTCTAACTATGCACCATTCCTCTTAACCTCTTTTCTGTGTTTTTAATCCCTTTGTCTTTTATGATGTGCCTCAATCTAATTTCTTTATCTTTCAGTTTATCCTTTCTTGCTTTTAATTTAGTTATTATTTTTATCCATATTATATACACATAGAGGTTTTTAAATTATATATATATTTATATTTAAAAGATTTTATTTATTTATTCATAAGACACACAGAGAGAGGCAGAGACATAGGCAGATGGAGAAGCAGGCTTCCTGCATGGAGCCTGATGCAGGACTCAATCTCAGGACCCCAGGATCAACCTCAGCCAAAGGCAAATGCTCAATTGCTGAGCCACCCAGGTGCCCCTATTTTTATCTTTTTTAAAGATTTTGTTTTTAAGTAACCTCTATGTCCAACATGGGGCTCGAACTCACAATCAAGATCAAGAGTTGCACACTCCATAAACTGAGCCAGCCAAGCACTCTACACACACAGTTTTAAAAGCCAAGTTATTATATAAGACTTGTGACAAAGAATGGTAGCTCCCTGACAATTGTCCATTATTTTTTGATCTCCAGGAATTGTCAACACTTTAAACAGAATCTTTTAATATTTCCACATATGTAAATAATATGCCTGCTTTGCTAACTTCTTGGCTTTTCTATTTGGGCATAATCTCTTATTTTAGCATCATGGAAGATGTGGGTTTGGCTCTGTTTCCTTCCCCCTCAACACACACACACACACACACACACACACACATATTTCCCACATCCAGACATTAGAAATATGTGGTTAGGGATCCCTGGGTGGCGCAGCGGTTTGGCGCTTGCCTTTGGCCCAGGGCGCGATCCTGGAGACCCGGGATCGAATCCCACGTCAGGATCCCGGTGCATGGAACCTGCTTCTCCCTCTGCCTATGTCTCTGCCTCTCTCTCTCTCTCACTGTGTGACTATCATAAATAAATAAAAATTTTAAAAAATTAAAAAAAAAGAAATATGTGGTTAGATCAGTAGTGTTTATATTTCACAACTAGGGAAACACTACTCACTGCTAGACCTTGATTAATTTCCTTTCCTGAATTTCTCCATCTTTTCCTTTGAGTTAATAGTTGGTACTTAGCTTTCTGTGTACATGGCATTAATTTAACTCTGAACTGCCCTCTGGGTGTATAGGTGTCTTCCCACCATGCTCAGATCTGCTACATACTAGGCTGTGTTGTCAGAGGAAGCCTTTCTCAGAGCCATTTGCCTGCCCCACTCTGGATGGTATGGCTTCCAGGCCCGATGGACAGCTCTGACCATGGACTCTCCCTCTGCCACCACACCAAGGGCTTCCTTTGCTTCCTTCTCAGGTTTGATTCCCTGATTCCTGGATCCCAATCATCTCCCTCATTTGACTCACTGCATCATTTGATGCAGCACATCCTCCAAGAACATCCTGAGAGAGGGTGCACAGAGATTATCTTTCCAGAACCCCCATGTCTAAACCTGCCCGAGTATGTCCTCACACCTAGACAATTATTTTGGATTGGATAGTTATTTAGATTTCCAATTTCAGTTCGATTTCAAATGTTGAATTTTTCTGCAGAATTTTGAAGGTTTTGTTGCATTTTCTTCTAGTTTTCAGTACTGCTATTGAAATTTTGATAGTATCTTTGTTCTTGCCCCTTGTGTGAAACCTGCTTTATTCTTTCTGGAGCCTGTAGGATCCTCTCTTTGTTCTCTGTGCTTTGAAACTGGATAGTGAAGTCTTGCCTTGCGACTATCTCACCTCTTGTGCTGGACACTTGGCAGTCTTTTTAGTCTGCAAACACATGCCAGATCTCTAATTACATAAATCTTGGGCTTAGGAAACAGATTCTACATTTTTCTTTCTCCTGTTGTTTTTACTTCCCTTTTTGGGGGGTGGAGGGCAGGGGTCCTACTTTTCATATCTTCTGTTAAGATAATGCTCTCTGTGATTACTTCCCCCCCGCCCCGAACATCATTTTTATACTCTGTTTTTTTAAGTATAATTTTCTTGCCTCTTAATCTGTCTAAGGCTGCTAGTGCTCACACACACACACACACACACACACACACACACACACACACACACCCCGAGTTTCCTTTCCCTAAACAGTCTGTTTTTTTTGGGCTTCTTGTCTTTCATGTCAGGTTTCCTGAAATATCTGCAGATCTCTGGCTGTCACTCCACTCACAGTTAAGAATGAGGCATAAGTTTCCTGGGGACTCTTGGTGGTATGACTAAGCCATCTTTTGGGGGACTCACTGTGGGGCTCTTTCTCTCTGTATTCTGTCTTGGTCTGGTTGGCATCCTGAGAGAAGGCTTTTCCACTGTGACGCTAGGATTCTAGGGGTCAAGGAGAAGAAAACCTCAGGTCTCAATATTCACCTTTCCTCCTTTGGTTCATTGTGATACCCACCCGTCCGTCCTCAACTGTTTTACCCCAGAAAGTAATTTCAGTATCTTGCTACAGTAGTGGAGAGAAGGGTGCTGGAAAGGGGAGGAGCCTGGGGGTTCTAAAGAGAACTTCAACCCGTTCTCTTCTCATCCTACCCTCCTGCACTCCACTCCAGAGCAGACTGCAACCACTGCATCCGAGTCTTCAGAGCTGCTTCTGCTTCTTCCCTCTCTCCTGATGGGCCAGGGTTCAGGATTCTTCAGTCTGTCATTTATAACTCTCTCCCCTCTGCTTTCCAGCCTCCAAATTTCTGTCATCTCTTCCTTCTTCTGTCCATCCCAGGGGTCAGGAAGCCTTAGGAGACACACTCATATTACCCCTGTGCTTCAGAGAGGGATGTATCTCCACTCCTTCCATGAAGTAGATTTGTGGAGAGGTTGCCTTTCAAGGATCCATGCTTTACATGGTGCAGGTGGCAGGGGGCTCTCTGGTGCAACTCCCACCTCTCATAGTCCTGACTCGGTGTCCTGTCTCCTGCATGAGCAGGCTCTGAGTCACCAGGGACCTGCAGATGCCCCAGGACAAAACTTGGCAGCTACAGAACTCTTCCCTCTAGGTGCATAGTTTTTTCTTTATTTTACCTCTGATAATCTCTTTTACTTTCTCTTGGCTTGACATGCATTTTAAAATATTATTTTAAAAAATTGAAACAAATGTTAAAAGAATAATGTTTAGGAATTCTGTGGGGACTTTTACATACAGTAAGGTTTCTAGAGACATCTGGTCTACCACGTTGCCAGACATTGGCCCTCCTGGCATCACACAGCACTGTAAAGGAAGCATGTCCATGGGATGTCCTGAGCTCCCCTGGGTGGCCCTTTGAGACTGGTAGGTTGGATGCCACGACTTCCATTTTATATCTCAAGATGCTGAATGAAAAATAACCTATATCAGTTAACATGGGGACCTGGTGGCAGAGCTGACATGAGAAACCTGGATTTGAAGCTCTTTTCAATGACTCATGCTCTCAGGAGGGAGCAATGTGGGTCTTCTCCAGTCACGAACGGAAGCTGTGGAGTGGCTGATGAACTCCCGAAACCTCCCTGGGGTTCAGGTTATAGGTAAGATATTGGGAGTCCTTGCCTTAACACTGAATTTTTACATGAGTTGAGAAACATGTCATATCCCTGCCCACACTGAACCATTTGAGCCACAGGCCTATAAGTGCCTCTGTTCTGCAGCATGAGAGCAGGAGTCTTACAAGAGCACAGCTGTAGACAGCTGATGGTTTTTCAAGGAACACCGTTTCTGTCACCGAGTAATACCTTTATGACCTCCAGAATCCCAGGGCACAGTGGACACGTTTGGGGACAAATTCTCCTAAAAAAGCTGTTCTGCAGAATCTGAGTTCCCCAACAGCACTTTTATTATAAGAGAATATGATAGCAGTCACTTCGTACGTGTGTTTCTTCCACCATCCGTCTCTTCCCCCATATGTCAACAGGGAGTGGAAGTAAGATCAAGCCCAAGCCACATTCAGCCTCCAGGCCCCATTAGTTTTCACTCATACTCAATGTCTGGCCAGGAAGAGAACTCAGCTTCAGTTGTGTGGGTGGACTGGGAGTGGTGGTGGTTGATGATGTCTGCCTGCCAGTGCTCCAGCACTGGTAGTGCTCCTGGGAAAGATTCAGTGGGCACCTAGGAACAGGAAGCAATGGACAACAAGGGACAGGATCCAGGAAATTGTTTTGCTCTGCAAACTCCTATATTATGAAACCAGTGGTTTTAACTGGTTTCTCTTTCTCCTCTGTCACTGGAAAGCATCATCCCAGGTGTTGTAGCTTTCATAAAAAAGGAGTCAGAATCATCTAAATAAAAGTTGTACTGAACTACAGCATGGTGGCAGGCTCTTTTCCTATGTGGGTGCTATTGTCATTTGCTCATGCCATCCACACCTTTGACACACTGTGTTGTTGCTTCACAGGTACTGTGATTGCTTTGCCAGTGGGGACTTTTGCAACAACTGCAACTGTAATAATTGTTGTAACAATCTACATCACGAAATCCAACGGTTTAAGGCCATTAAGGTAACAATTTTTCCACTAAATACATGCATTCTAAAAGTGTTTTAAAGTGCTTAAGATATGGGGTGCCTGGGTGGCTCATTAGGTTGAGCGTCTGACTCTTTTGATTTTGGCTCAGGTCATAATCCCAGAGTTTTGAACCAAGCACTACACTGGGCTCTGTGCTCAGCACAGAGTCTGCTTGAGGTTCTCTCTCTCCCTCTTCCCTTTCCCCTGCTCACACACTCCTTCTCTTTCTCTAAAAATAATTTTTTTTTAAAAAGTGCTTGAGATATTCATAAAACTATCCTCTCTAGAGACTCCCAACTGATTTCAATATTGGGAAAACCCAAAGTGTTGATGAGTATACACTGAGTAGGATTCTTCCTGAAGATGGCCGTGGACAAGAGCTGTAAGGAGTTAGCAGCCAGAGAAAGATCTTTATTCTCTACCATGTGGGATGACTTCAGTGGCACAGCACTGTTGGAAGGTTCTGATTTCAGAATGTACAAATGTCCACTTTGTCTTGTGTTGGGGTTTAGAGATTTGGGTCCTGTCATGTAGTACATAAGCCTGAGCTTGAAGAGTGTACCCTGAGAGGTGTAGAAAGTCTGCTGTTCAGAGAACTGGGTAGAGGTTCTCAGCCACAATTCATGTCTAATTTTTATTCTTTTTTTTTTTTTTTTTTTTAGCATCCATTCCTTTTTTTTTTTTTATAAATTAATTTTTATTGGTGTTCAATTTACCAACATACAGAAAAACACCCAGTGCTCATCCCGTCAAGTGTACCCCTCAGTGCCCGTCACCCATTCACCCCCACCCCCCACCCTCCTCCCCCTCCACCACCCCCAGTTCATTTCCCAGAGTTAGGAGTCTCTATGTTCTGTCTCCCTTTCTGATATTTCTCACACATTTCTTCTCCCTTCCCTTATATTCCCTTTTGCTATTATTCATATTCCCCAAATGAATGGGAACATACACTGTTTGTCCTTCTCCGGTTACTGTGGCCAAGTTAAAAAAGGGTGTTGCCTGAGTTCTTCTCTGGGATTTTGATGGAATCTTGTCTCACATTTAGATCTTTCATCTATTTTGAGTTTATCTTTGTGTATGGTGCAAGAGAGTGGTCCAGTTTCATTCTTCTGCATGTGGATGTCCAATTTTCCCAGCACCATTTATTGAAGAGACTGTCTTTCTTCTAGTGGATCGTCTTTCCTCCTTTATCGTATATTAGTTGAGCATAAAGTTCAGGGTCCACTTCTGGGTTCTCTGTTCTGTTCCATTGATCTATGTGTCTGTTTTTGTGCCAGTACCACACTGTCTTGATGAACACAGCTTTGTAGTACAACCTGAAATCTGGCATTGTGATGCCCCCAGATATGGTTTTCTTTTTTTAAAATTCCCCTGGCTGTTTGGGGTCTTTTCTGATTCCACACAAATCTTAAAATAATTTGTTCTAAGTCTCTGAAGAAAGTCCATGGTATTTTGATAGGGATTGCATTATACGTGTAAATTGCCCTGGGTAACATTGACATTTTCACAATATTAATTCTGCCAATCCATGAGCATGGAATATTTTTCCAACTCTTTGTGTCTTCCTCAATTTCTTTCAGAAGTGTTCTGTAGTTTTTAGGGTATATTTTGAGAACCATTTGAATGGTAAATGGTTCTCCAACCTTTTATTTTCAGGTTGTAGGTGTCCTTCTGTCTAAAATGAGTCTCTTGTAGACAGCAAATAGATGGGTCCTGTTTTTTTATCCAGTCTGAAACTCTGCGCCTTTTGATGGGGTCATTAAGCCCATTCACGTTCAGAGTTACTTGAACTTCTTCTTAAAGGGGAGTTTTAAGAGTCCCCCTTAAAATTTCTTGCAGAGCTGGTTTGGAGGTCACATATTCTTTCAGTTCCTGCCTGTCTTGGAAGCTCTTTATCTCTCCTTCCATTTTGAATGAGAGCCTTGCTGGATAAAGTATTCTTGGTTGCATGTTCTTCTCATTTAGGACCCTGAATATATCCTGCCAGCCCTTTCTGGCCTGCCAGGTCTCTGTGGAGAGGTCTGCTGTTACCCTAATATTCCTCCCCATGAAAGTCAGGGACTTCTTGTCTCTTGCTGCTTTAAGGATCTTCTCTTTATCTTTGGAATTTGCAAGCTTCACTATTAGATGTCGAGGTGTTGAACGGTTTTTATTGATTTTCGGGGGGGATCTCTCTATTTCCTGGATCCGAATGCCTGTTTCCCTTCCCAGATTGGGAAAGTTTTCAGCTAGGATTTGTTCAAATACATATTCTGGCCCTCTGTCCCTTTCGGCGCCCTCGGGAACCCCAATTAAACGTAGGTTTTTCTTCCTTAGAGTGTCATTTATTTGCCTTAATCTGTCTTCATGGTTCTTTAATTGTTTATCTCTTTTTTCCTCAGTTTCCCTCTTTGCCATTAACTTGTCTTCTATGTCACTCACTCGTTCTTCCACCTCGTTAACCCTCGTCGTTAGGACTTCTAGTTTGGATTGCATCTCATTCAATTGATTTTTAATTTCTGCCTGATTGGATCTAAATTCTGCAGTCATGAAGTCTCGTGAGGCCTTAATGCTTTTTTCTAGAGCCACCAGTAGCTGTAGAATAGTGCTTCTGAATTGGCTTTCTGACATTGAAGTGTAATCCAGATTTTGTAACTCTGTGGGAGAGAGGGCTGTTTCTGATTCTTTCTTTTGAAGTGAGGTTTTCCTTCTAGTCATTTTGCTCAGTGCAGAGTGGCCAAAAACAAGTTGTATTGGAACACGGGGGAGTATCACTGGTCCCTCTAGCTGGTCTTCTGGGGGAGGGGCCTGTTGCGCTGATTCTCAGGTGTTAGCACTTGGGGGAGCTGCTCTGCCCCTGCCTGCTGCAGGGCTCAGCGGGGGTTGTTTACCCCGTGAGGTCTCAGGAGGAACAGTTGCAGTTGCTATGGCAACTCTGGAAGCCTGGATTCAGCCTCCGCAGGAACTACGGGGCTCGGGGCTCTCGGCTCTCCGTCCGCAGGGCCTGGAGGCTCCGGGGCGGGGCCGCTGATCTGCTCAGCTCGGGGCAGGAGCGTCCTTGCTGTCCTGGGCCCTCCCGGCCTCTGCCTGTCCCGGGGGGAGGCCGGATCCTGGGCTGTGTCCCGGCGCCCTGTGCTCCGGGGCCTGTGTTGTTGGATTTGCGCTCCCGCCCCGCAGCTCCCTCCCTGGAGCCGCTCCCGAGCCCCTCCGAGCTGCTCCGGTGCGTGCTGCAGCCCTTAGGGAGCTCGGAGCACTCTCCTGCGCTCGCAGGTGTCTGTTAGTGTCCCAGGGAGCCTGAGGGCATCCCCGCTCTCCTGGGTCCTGCTCCAACTCCCTGCGAGCCCCTTTCCGCCCGCCCGGGAAGGTTGGTGCAGCTCCTGCTCCTCCGGGACGGGGCTCTCCTGTCCTGGGGACACTCGCCCCGGCCTCAGCCCGGCTCCTCGCGGGGCCCCTCCCCCTCGGAGGCCTTTTGTTTCTTTATTTCTTTTTCCCCCGTCTTCCTACCTTGATAGAAGCGCGGACTTTTCTCACTGTAGCATTCCAGCTGGTCTCTCTTTACATCTCAGGCCGAATTCGTAAATTTTCAGGATGGTTTGAAGGTTATCTAGGTAATTTGGTGGGGACAGGTGATTTGGGGACCCTGCTCTTCCGCCATCTTGCCCCTCCCCCCTAATTTTTATTCTCCATAGTTCTCAGGAAAGGGGAGAATTTGGACTTTCCTCAAGGGGCCAGCAGCAACTCTGGCAGCCCTGGGCTTGCTAACAGCTACATACAGGAACCTGCAGTTTTCATCCCTTCTTGTAGGCATAAAAGATCATTAAAGAAGGGAGGATGGGTAGGCATGGGGCCGCCAGCCTGCTCTGGGGGCATATTTTAGTGCCCCTGGTTTGCAAAGGGCAATGAAGGACTATCCCATGTAGACTTGAGACTGTCGTGCTGTCTCGTGGTTGGTCTGTTTTGTTTCTACAATAATTTAATTCTCCTCTTGAATTACAGATAAATCACTTGAAAATATCTTACCCATTTTGATATAGCCAGATCCAGGGGACAGAAGAAAATTTTGATGCCTCTAAACTTTAGTAGTGTAGCATTTTCTTCAGGGTTAAAGGATTGTCTATCATTGAATGTATATAAGTTTTATTTAAAAAGTGTTGGCATTTTCAAGCATTGCTGGTAGGAACATAAGTTGGTACAAGCACTTGGGGAGGTTGTTTGACAATAGCCTCTAAAGCTGAACCTTGGTACATGCTATGATCCAGCAGTTTCATTCCTGAAAACAGAGACAATAAAAATGAGTGCATGCGTCGACCACAGACACACACAGTAACCCCACCCTGGAAACGACCCAGTGTCCATCAGTGGTAGAATGTTGTATCGTATGGTGGACTACTACACACTAGTGAAGAAGGCAGTCCCACCATGCACTGCACGTGGATAAATCCCGTGGGCGCTGTGCTGCTGAAGGAAGCCGGGCACAACAGGGTACGCCACAGGGGCCCACACACAGTGAAAGCAGTGGAGGTCAGCACGGTGGCTCCCACTGGGGTGTCAATGGGGACCAGTCCTGGGAGTTCCTGGGGGCTGGACTACCCTCCAGTCTGAGCTGGGCAGAGGTTACACAGGGCACACTGGTGCTCTGTTCATCATGCTCCACCCCACGGATGGGTGCATTCCCTGCCCCTCACCTTCATTAGAAATAAAAACATACAATAGCAGCCTCACTTGAGGCCAGTGCTGTCCAAAGGACCTTCTGTGGTGATGGGAAGGCCTTGTGTCAGACGGCGCAGACCCTAGCCATTAATCTGTACAAGGAGAGCAAAGGGCGGGGGTGCTACTGTGTTCCTCAAATTGCATCAAATCACTTCGTTAATAAAAACATGCACACACACACAAAAAAAAAACATGCACACATTTGTCTGTCTAGATGGATCATAGAAAGATACATAAAAAGAGTTAAACCAGCCAGGATAAAAAGCTGAGCATGTTGTGTGAGCAAGGCGTGGCCTGGTGGCCGAGTGTCTGGGCTGGGTTAAGCATAGGGAAAGGGATTCGAGTCCATCACTGGCCATTTATTACTTAACATCTTGCCCTTGATTTCTTCATCTGTGAGACAGAAACAATAGTATTTGTTCCCCAAGGCTGCGGTGAGGATTAAGGGAAAAAGTGCACATAAATCTCATAGAAAGGTGCCTGGAACACAATCAGTGTTTAATAAATGTGAGCACCATGGCCCTAGTTGTCTCAGGAAAAAAGTACACAAGAAATGCTGGAAAGGAAATAGAGCCACACGGACACAGTCATTTTCTTTTCTTTTTTTTTTTAATTTTTATTTATTTATGATAGTCACACAGAGAGAGAGAGAGGCAGAGACACAGGCAGAGGGAGAAGCAGGCTCCATGCACCGGGAGCCCAACGTGGGATTCGATCCCGGGTCTCCAGGATCGCACCCTGGGCCAAAGGCAGGCGCCAAACCGCTGCACCACCCAGGGATCCCGACACAGTCATTTTCTTCGAGTCTTTAATATCCAGTTATTTTACAATAAGCATGTCTGACTTTGAAACTCCGGAAAAAACAATGCCTTTTACAGTGTAAAAGAATTAAATGAAACAAGAAGGGGACACACTTTCTTTTTTTTTTTTTTAAGACTTTATGTATTTAATCACGAGAGACACACAAAGAGGCAGAGACACAGGCAGAGGGAGAAGCAGGCTCCCTGCAAGGAGCCCATTACAGGACTCCATCCCAGGACCCCGGGATCACGACCTGAGCTGAAGGCAGATGCTCAACCACTGAGCCACCCCAGCATCCCGGGGATGCACTTTAACTATGGAAGGACACACTGCCTCATGTGGCTCTTTCTTTGTTATTTTATTTTATTTTATTTTATTTAAATTCAATTAATTAACATGTAATGTATTATTAGTTTCAGAGATAGAGTTCAGTGATTCATCACTTGCATGTTACACCCAGTGTTCATCCCATCACATGCCCTCCTTCATGCCCATCCTCCAGTTACCCTGTCCCCCCACACTCCCCCTCCAGCAACCCTCAGTTTTTTTTCCCTATGATTGAGAATCTCTCATGGTTTGTCTCCCTCTCTGAATTCATCTTATTTTATTTTTTTTAAGATTTTTTTTAATTTTTTTTATTTATTTATGATAGTCACAGAGAAAGAGAGAGAGGCAGAGACATAGGCAGAGGGAGAAGCAGGCTCCATGCACCGGGAGCCCGATGTGGGATTCGATCCCCGGTCTCCAGGATCGCGCCCTGGGCCAAAGGCAGGCGCCAAACTGCTGCACCACCCAGGGATCCCGCATCTTATTTTATTTTAACCTCCCTTCCCCTGTGCTCCTCTGTTTTGTTTCTTAAATTCCACATATGAGTGAAACCGTATGATAATTGTCTTTCTCTGATGGACTTACTTCACTCAGCATAATACCCTCCAGCTCCATCCACGTGGTTACAAATGGTGAGATTTCATCCTTTTTGACGACTGACTGATAGTCCACTGTGCTGTGTGGCTCTTCTAAAGCAGCAACTGGATTAACACAGCAGACAAATGAACTTTCACTGAATGTTGTTCAACTTTCACTGAATGTTGTTTTTAAATAAAAGGTACATCTTGATGGAGTTTTGTGTTTTCTGCCTTAGGCATGTCTTGATCGAAATCCAGAAGCTTTCCAGCCAAAAATTGGGAAAGGGAAGTTGGGAGATGTGAAGCCTCGGCATAACAAAGGCTGTAACTGCAGGCGCTCGGGCTGTCTCAAAAATTACTGCGAGTGCTACGAGGTGAGCCCCCCACCCCACCCCCCAGGGCCCTGGGCTCAGTGACACAGCAGATGTACCCACGGTTCCTCCGGGAGGCTGGCACCTGCTTCGGGCCCACTGCATGGCCCTGCCCACTCTGCCACAGCACTTCGGGAGCTCCCAGAGGTGGGCCTTGCCTCTTGCTCGCAGAGCTTTGTCTCTGGGCTGGCGCTCAGAGACCACAGCGGACAGCGGGCCTTGGCTGGCGGACAGCACACGTCGTGATGCAGAGCCACCCGTGGACCAGAGCGTGTGCCTGCTCCTCACAGACCCACTGGGGTGGAGAGGCTTGCTCTCTCTCTCTTCATCTTCCCTCTTCTTTCTTGGTGTTGAAGGAAAGTGAGGGAGAGGAGGGAAGAGCCCTCAGACCTCAGCTGCAAAGCAGCCGGGAAACCTTTCCTTAAAAAGCTCTCCTTTGGTTTGCTTGAGGTCAATCCCAGCTGGGATTGTGAGAATGCAAAGTCTTGCTGAGATACAGAATTCAAACAGTGAGGCACCTCCCCAGCGAAGCAGTTTTCAAATGCACTGACAGCATCCCTGCCTGCTCTTCACAGTACCCTCCCTGCTGCCTGAGACAGTGAGCAGGCTCACTTTCTGGAGGCTGAGCCTCTGCCAGGCAGCAGCCCACATGAGGTGCAGCTGTCCTGTAGTCTCCAGAGGGGACTGGAGATCCTGAAAAGCCTCTTGCTCAAAACAGCCAGAGGTGCAGAGTAGAACATCATAGATACCCTTCGATGTGCATCTCTGAGCTGACGAGATCTGAGGGACAGCCCTAGCAGCTGAAAGAAAGAGGGAGCCACAGCAGTTGGCAGGGCCAGCTTTCAGACTGCCCGGTGGCCTGTGTAAGCAAGGGGTTGGGCCCTGGCTTGCCAGGCATGCTCCCTGTGGCAAGAAACGAATTCCACCCACAAGTAAGCAGCAAGGCCTCCCCTCACACCCACTCAAGGCCTGCCTTCAGTGGGTTTCAGCCTCTACCCACCTACACATTCCCCACAAGAGCAGAGCCAGCATGACATGGGCCCACCTAGGAGATGCTGCAGGCTCAATTCCAGACCAGAAAGCAACAGAGCAAATACCGCATTCAAGCCAGTCAGATGAAGTTTTTGGCTTCCCAGTGAAGATAAAAGTCTTGCTTACAGGACACTGCAGTCTATTAGGTGTACAGTAGCATTTAGGTCTAAAAAACAAGGCACGTACCTTCATTAAAAAGCCCTAATTATTCCCTGAGCTCTTAGTTACCATCACTGGACACAGATCATAGCAAACATAAGAATAATGAAAGGTTTGAAATGTTGAGAGAATTACCAAAATGTGACTGAGACACAAAGTGAGCAAATACTGTTGGAAAAATTGTGTCAACAGGCTTGCTGGACACAGGTTGCCACAGACCTCCCATGTGTGAAAACCACATTGTCTATGACATGCAGTGAAGTGAGGTGAGCTGAGAGAGCTAGAATCTTATGACCCATGACACAGTCAGGGGGCAGCACTCTGCTGGCATCCCCTGCAGAGAAGGGAGAGTGACCCCCTCTCTGCTCGGGACTCATGCTCACACTCACATGCCAGCCTTCCAAATCCCCTCCCTGTGTTTGGTGTGAAAATTGCAGATTAAACACACACACACACACACACACACACACACACACACACACACACACAGGGTCACCTAAGGTCCACATAGAATGTGTTGTTTTTTGATGAATTATAGTGCAGTCTGATTTTATTGAAGTATTTTATGTTACCAGGCCAAAATTATGTGTTCTTCTATTTGCAAATGCATTGGTTGCAAAAATTATGAAGAAAGCCCAGAACAGAAAACACTAATGAACATGCCCAACTATATGGAAATTGGAGGGTTTGAAGGCAACCATCATTTGTCACCAACTAAATTCTCAGGACTACCAAAATTCAGAAAAGATAGGTAGGTACTGTGAAAAGATAGGTAGGTACTCCAAAGAGGGGAAACAGGTTAATTTGAGGACAGTTAATCTCTACACCGAAAAGAAAGTGTGTGTGTCCATGGGGTGGGCATGAGGGATGGGGCGGAAGCAGCAGCTCCCCTGCTTGACCAGCCTTAGGTCCCACCCTGTGTTTCCTCATGGGGCCCACTGCTGAGACTGCTCTGTCCATTGGTCTTCCTGGGCTGTTACCCATTTTGTGCACAAGCAGAAGGGCCTTGCAGGGACTGCTGATAGGCCACTGCCCTTGGGCAGTGAGGCCACAATCTCAAGACAGACACACAGACCTGAAGTACTCCTTACCATATGAAGTGACAGCGTGCCTACTGCGTCCCTTACTGGAGGGTTCATGGATCTCACAGTAGGTGGATAGTGTCCCATTTAACTATTCTGAGGCCATACTATAATCCTAGCAGATCTCAAAGGTTGAGTGATAATTTAACTATATACTAGACTAGATTTATCCATTTAAAAAAGTGCCTTTCAAATCAATACCATGAATGAAATAATGAAAAAGCACCAGATATCATTAATTCATATAATTCTGCAAAGCCAAGTTTATGCTTATTTGGTCAGAGACATCAGAAGTACCATCACTGTGACCTGCAGAGGTCTTTATCAGTAAACATTTACCAGATGTGGCTTCATCTTCTGTGAAGGGGCAAGCGAACATGTTATCTCCTGGCACCGGGACGCTGTGTGTCAGGCTGAATGTGATGGAGCGTCCACATGCTGGAGTCTGGCCTCAAAATACTGTGACTCTTGACCCAAGGGCAGCCCTATTCCTTGAGCTTCAGCAAAAGTCGTTGTGTGTTGTCTGTCTAGAGAGATTTCAACCAATTCCAACTCCTGTGTCTATTTCCATAATCCAACACTTTTTAAGACTATAGGAAGTTTTCCAGAACTTCTGCAGTCTGAGCACTGCTTGGGCAAGTGTCTAGCTAAGCCAGGTTGCCCCTCGAGCCCAGCAGGGGCGCATGGACAGTCTTGTATGATATGGTCTTGCCATCTTTGGGAACCTGGTTAAGGGTTCTAAGGGGCGTTGGGAGGGGAGGCCAGGCTGACAGTGTCCCTCCAACAGGGCAAGTCCCCAGAACCCTTTGGCATCCTGGAGTGCCAGATGCCCCTGGGGAGGATGGGGCTGACACCAGGGCACTGGCTTTCCTGAGCGTACATATTCTGCTCAGAGTTTGGACCAGGCTGCATGGCTCACCTGTAAGGCTTATCTCAATCTGAGATTCCTGCTTCCACCGCTGCACAGCCCACCAGCGTGATGCAGTAGCCCCGGTGCCTCTGAATGTTGTAGTGGATCTAACTTTGAGGATATTCAGAATCTGCTGTGAGAAGGAATGTCAAGAGGTAGACCGGTTGCCTGTGCTCTGTGTTCTCTTCTGAAAGCAGTCCTTCATATTGTCACAGTTTCCAACTTTAGGAAGATACCATTCGATTTTAGGGGTGACGTTCTTTAAAATACCATGACAAGGACGTCCCCTTGAACATATAAGACATTTAAAATGTGGAGCTGAGGACAGTGGCCTGTAATTGCTCTGTTTCTGCCAGGCAGTCTTCCTCGTGCATCTCCTGGGAGGTGGTGGAGGCCACGTGCGCCTGCCTGCTGGCTCAGGGTGAAGAGGCCGAGAAGGAGCACTGCTCCGAGTGCTTGGCGGAGCAGATGATCTTGGAGGAATTCGGGAGGTGCTTATCACAGATTCTCCGGATTGAGTTTAAATCCAAAGGGTTGAAAATTGAGTAGCGTTACAGCATGGTAAAATCTGAATGCACATAGATTTTGCTTCAATATTCTAAGGGAAAGAAATCTATAGTTGAGAGGTGGTTTGAGGAACACGAGGCCGGGTTTGCATCAATGGCTGTGTCACTGAGGTCAGGCTTTCCCTCTGCATCCGGGTGCCAAGGGGATTTACTCAGAATGGGTGAGGGTCTTGGTGATCAACGCCCCCTCACCCCGGCTTTTGAGGAAGCACAGACACAACTAACCGTTGTTGTCTGGCCCTGGAGAGAGAGCGTGGATTCCTGTGATGCTGGGAGGATTGTCTGTATTAACAATGAGGGATGGAGGGAGGAAGTGGGCTCTGGAGAGAAATAGCAGTTCATTCCCACTGGCTTCACCCAGTCTTGCAAATTTTCCTCTCGAGGCATCTCTGCCTAAAAAGCCATAATGATTTTTTATTAAAATTATTTTGAAATACTTTCTCCAGATGGGCTGCTAAGATACAGCGTAAAATCTCTCAACAGCCCTGAGTCCCTTGAGGAATTCCTGAGTGTGAACATTTTCCCAGAGTCACACAAATGCTCTGTCTCCCTTAGGGCCACCATGAAACACAGGCCGTAGGGTCATACTTATGGGGCTGAAATTTATCTAGTTTCTTGTGTGTTTTCATTTGAATGTGGAAAAGCTCTATTATCCAATTAACTTCTCCCTAATTACTGTTCTAATATTATTACTGTTTGTTAAAATATGGTTGAAGTAACTAGTTTGCAGAAGCCAGCAGGTAAGATTAGTTATTAAGTTGACTCTCTTTTAGTTCTTTTGAAAAAGCAAAACGATTAAAATTTCAAATGTCTTCCATTGTTGTAATTAACTTAGTAACTATAAATATATTCATCCTGTTCTGTGTTTATGAATAGCATTGGCCCCTTAGAGTATGTTTAGAAAATTTACTTGCCAGCACAGCACCGACATAAGCAAGGGGCCTAGCGGCTGGCTGGCGTTCAGTAGAGTTGTATTCAGAACAGCAAGTTCTGATGGGAAACCCTGGAGGTAGAGAAATAAACTTAATTCTTCACCATTTCAATTCCCCTTTGGCTCCTCCGGATGGAGATTCATGGTGACAGGCCAAAGGCAGAGGCCTGGGTGCCCCGTGGCTAGGGGCACTTTCAGCCCCCTGTGCATCTGGGAAGGGGTGGGAGGGATGCTGCTGGAGGGGACCCGTCCACTCCACCCTCAGCGCTGGTGGGGTCCTGAACCAGGGCTTCCTGATCCCCTTCTTGGGGGGCGGCCTTTCCTCTGCGTCTGTCCTGAAATGCTGCCAGTGGCAATGTCTGCAGGGCCTTACCAGTCACTTCACATTTTCTAGGAGCCATATTTGAAAAAGTGAAGAGGAGTAGGTGAAATTTATTTTAGCAATCTTTTATCTAACCCCATATATTCAAAACAGTCATGTCACCGTGTAATCAAAATAAAAATGATTGAGGTATTTCACATTCTTTTGTATGTACCACATCTTTGAAGTCCAGCGTGCATCTTACAGGCACATCTCTGCGCACACCCGGCACATTTTAGAGGCTCTAGAGCCGCATGGCACAGGTATGGAGGGAGGTAAAGGGAACACTGTTCTCCAGAACTATTCTGAGATAAAGAGCTGCCTATAGAGGTCCCGAAGCCAGGGGTGGTCACCTACAGAGCCCCAAGAATGTCCTGGCCAGGGAGGAAGATGAGCAACAGCCTTCGGGTCAGGGACCCAGCACGACCCAGGACCTGGCCGGAGCCCAGGTTCATGTGAGGCAGGGGACCTTTCATGCCAGGCCAGGATACTCTGTGGCCAGCTATACTGAGCGGAAGCCTGAAAATTAAGGGAAGGCCCATCCCTGTAGAGCTTCTCGCCAAGGAGAATTTAGTAAGCCCATACAGCTTTTAGAAAATTCAGTATGATAAGTGAGAGCCAAGTAGAGCCGTGTATCAAGCCAGTGTAATGCCCAAAGGTGACAGTTACATAGGATGACTTAAAGATCTAAAAGTACATCTGGGATGCCTGGCTGGCTCAGTGGTTTAGTGCCTGCCTTCGGCTCAGGGCATGATCCTGGAGTTCCAGGATTGAGTCCCACATTGGACTCCCTGCAGGGAGCCTGCTTCTCCCTCTGCCTCTCTCTCTGTGTATCTCTCATAAATAAATAAATACAATCTTTTTTAAAAATAAAAGAAGTACATCATCTGTTGCTGGTAAAGAGCCAAGGCCATTTTAAAACTATATAAAAATAAACATAGCATGCCTTACTTCTGGATGTGGCTGTGCAAAATGAACTGCCTTGTAGCTCTCTCCTGTATCTACTAATAACTCGGCTGCCTCTGTGATTAGGGTGAGACTATCTGCTGGGTTTTCAGAGGGTTTTTTGGTGTCGTTCCTCCCCAAATGCAGCTTAGCTTAAAGCTTGCCTTTTCGAGAATCCGAAAAGAAGTCATAACATGACATGCTGAAAGAAAGCCGCTTCTCCCCTCAGAATAATAGTTAGACATGAGACAGGTGGCATATCCCCTCCACCAATCTATTCTCCATTTCTCTGGACACCAACTGGGTGTCCTAATATTACTCAATTTAGTTATGTCGCTAACTTCCTGGAGTTAGTGTCGGATGACCCAGGTTAAGGGCTCAGTCCCCGCACACTGTCCTCAACTTCAGACACCAGCCAGACACCAGTTGCAAGTACTGGGTCCTGAGGAAAACCCATACACTTCTGTCTGATTTGGCTGTAGTTGGAAGCTTCCGGGAATGCCTCTTTGGGTCTGAAAATCTGCTATAACAGTTCACAGAACTCAGGGAAACATTTTACTTGCTATTACCAGTTTATTGTAAAGGATATTGAAGGATTCATATGAGCAACCTGAGGATGAAGTACATAGGGCAAGGTTCAGGAGCGCACTCTGTCCCTGTGAAGCTTGGGGCGCCACACTCTGGCCTGTGGCATTCACCAACCCCAAAACTCTGAACCCTGTATTTTAGGGATTTTTATGGTGGCTTCGTGTCATAGGCACAATCAAGTATCAACTCAGCCTCTAGCCCCCTCTCCTCCCTGGAGCGTGTGGCTTGGTCTTTCTGGTGACAAGCCCCCAGCCAGGAGCCCACCCAGAGCTGCCTCATTAGAACAAAAGACACTCCTACCACCCAAGAAATTACAAGGGCTTTATGAGCTCTATTAGGAAACAGCATAGAGACCAAATACATATTTCTATTTGCACATGCTGAAAATTTTCCCTCAATTAACCACAAGCTTGTACACAATACAGAAAACATGAGAACATAGGAAACAGAACCTTCTGCTGCCTGGGGAATCTGAGCAGAAACCTGTGTGTAGTCCTCTTCTTGGCTCTGAAGCTCTTCATCTCCTTATAAAACCCTGCACTAATTCCCTGAAGTTCTACTGAGGCTGGTCGAATTCCAGTGGGGTTGCGGCTTAAAACCACAAGAGATAAATTATTACGTGAACTAGGAGAGGACACTGATTGAGGGAAGTAAAGGTGGAAGTTTCTTCTAAGATGCAGATGGTGCCTGGGGAATCAGTGTGGGGAAGAGAAGAGCACTGGAGGGGCAGAGGCAGCTCCTGCTGCAGCTCTCCCCACAAAGGCCACCAGGCTCAGAAGGGCAGAGGTGACAACACCAGTCAAGTGCTGTCAGGGTTCCGAACTCTGGCCATTCCCTTAGGTGTGCGGCCATATCTAGTTGTTTTCTGTTGCAATTCCCTGATGGCCCACGACCTGGAGCATCTTTTCATGTGCTTGCTTGCCTTGCCTTCTGTGTATCTTTTTTAGCAACTTGTCTGCACAGGTCTTTTGCCCATCTTTTGATTGGGTTCTTCATTTTCCTGTTGCTGAGTTTTAAGAGTTCTTTGTGTATTTTGGATAACAGTCCTTTATCATATATATATGCATTTTGCAAATATTTTCTTCCAGTCAGTGGCTTGTCTTCTCATTCTTTCAATAGTGATTTTGCAGAGCAGAAGTCTTAAATTTTAATGAAGTCCAGCTCATTAATTGTTCTTTTATGGATCGTGACTTTGGTGTTATATCTAAAAAGTCATGGCCATGCTCAAAGTCATCTAGATCTTCTGTGTTATGGGAGTTTTAGAGTGTTGGATTTTATGTTTATGTATATGGTTTACTATGAGTTTCAATTTTTGTGAAGTGTGTAAGATGTGTCTAGATTCCCCCACCCTTTTCTTGTATGTGGTTGTCCAGCTGTTTCAGCAGTATTTCTTGAAAACACTGTTTTTGCTCCATTGTGCTGCCTTTGCTCCTTTGCAAAGATCAGTTAACAATACTTATGTACGTCTATTTCTGGGCTCTTGAATCCATTCCATTGATCTATTTGTCTATTCTTTTGCCAGCGTCACACTGTCCTGATTATAGCTTTGTGGAAAGTCTTCAAGTCGGGTGGTAGTCCATCCTTCAACTTTGTTCTTTTTCTTCAATATCATGTTGGATATTCTCAGTCTTTTTCTCTCCATATAAACTTTAGAATCTGTTTTTTAATTCCTACAAAATAACTTTCAGAGATTTTAATTGGGATTGCATTGATTCTGTGGATCAAGTTGGGAAGAATGGACATCTTCAAAATATTGGGTCATCCTATCCATGAACATGGAATATTTCTCCAGTGATTTAGCACTTCTTTGATTTCTGTCGTCAAAGTTTGTAGTTTCCTCCATATAGATCTTGTACATGTTTTGTTAGATTTGTACCTATGTATTTCACTTTTGGGGGTGCTAACATAAATGATATATTTTTAATTGCAAACTCCACTTGTTCATTGGTGTTATACAGGAAAGGAATGAACTTTTGTGAGTTTTTTCTTTTTAAGATTGATTTTTTAAAACTTTCTTTTTTTAATTTTTTTTAGATTTTATTTATTTATTTATTGAGAGAGAGAGAGAGGGAGAATGGCTGGGACACAGGCAGAGGGAGAAGCAGGGTCCATGCAGGGAACCTGACGTGGGACTCGATCCCGGATCTCCAGGATCACA